ATGCCAATCCATGCAAGATTTCACTTGCCACAGAGAATGAAAGTTATTTTACTCATATTGAATTCATATATGAGAGAGTCAGTGACAGAGAGTTTCTGAACTACTACAATGCAAAAAGCTTTCGGGAAAAAATTTACCTACTACCTATCAAGAGAGTTCAGCATTTCAACTGCATAGAGCATAGAGTAAGCATTTTTCATGGTCCAAAAACATGATACAACTGCATGTAGATGAATAATTATATTGATCATTATAATGCACGAGCAAGCATTCATCACACTCCAAGCTGTTGAATTAAGACTGTTAAAAGAGAAACTCATCCTCAATTCAAGCAAGAGAGTTCGTTATTTTAGAACTAGGATGATGCGACCATATTTCGGAACGACCTGACCGAAACTTGGAACGAAACGACCATGGAACGAAGTGATCATTAATCGTTTAAGCTGATTAGGCCAGGTAAATAGAACTTGTCTAAGTCTGTAAAGTTACTCTTCTGTTACCGAGGTCACTAAGACGAAAATTGCCACACATATAGAAATTTGACAATAATTCCTTCTTAACTTCAGCGCATGGAATAGTGTTAAGGACCAGAGAAAGCGAAGATAACAGGCGAAATTAAATGGAATTCATCGTTCGTTTCTTGTGATCAGGTGTGTCAATTTCAGAAAGTGACCCAGCCAACAGAAGTCGCATGATAAACATCTGAGGTATGACTTACCCTTTTAATTTTCGTTTAAATTCTTCTGGAATACTAAGAAATTCATCTGTTTCAGACAGAGATGAAAAGTTCTCTGCATTTGCTTGTAGCTCATCTTGTGAACTTCCTATCCTGTCCACACAAAAACCTTGCTCATCAGTCTCTTCATCTTCACTGGTTGAAATTTTTAACGCAATGTACTCATCTTCTTTCGAAGTAGACTCAATAGTTTCAATAGGTGCAGTTTCCTCTTGACTACTTCCTTCAGTTTCGGAAGAAATCGCAGTTTTTTTCTCCTGTAGTCGCTTACTACTTCTCATTTTGAGATTTAATCATTGCACGTTGCGCTAAGTCCAGCGGTAACTTAACAGCGCGGGCGCTTTAAAGACTCGTACCCAGTCTCATTTTGTTTTTCTATCCCAGACTTTCCCGGCTGAATTTAGACGCAAACTCTCGCCAGAATTTCCATCTCTCATTTGCTCAGGCCGTCGAAATATCTAAGAACTGATTTTCGGTCTCAGCAATCAACCCTTCTTTACAAGCCGTGAACATTCGTTTTTAAATAAATAATGAGTCTCACTGCCAAAATGAGCACAACCGAAGTTTATAAAAAATGCTGCCATTCCTACTTGGCGCTGGAGTTTTATACAGCAGGGCCCGGAAGATTCTGAATGAGAGAGCTGTACTTTGATTTAATCCTTCAATAAAAGACACATTAGTAAAAGATGTACTCAGTCACGTATTGGAAACTTCTCAGCTTCTTCAAACTAAGAAATTTCTTTAAGGATTGACGAGTGAATCTCTCTAAATTTAAATCGATTGATCCGCAAAAGGGAAAGCAAATTTAATACGAGTTCCAGCAATCTTTCGCTGTTTGTCAAAAATAGTTTTGTCGGTAAACTTTCACTCTTTCCTAAGCCTGATAATCGGTAACGGCTGACCGTTTGATTTTTAATGAGCTGCACTAACCGAAGAAAAATCTCTCAAATCGTTCAGAATTGTCTCCTGTTTTGAACCTCACTTTTTACACCATGATAACACGCGAAATTAACTGGTAATCCCACAGGGAAATCTATCCACTTCACCGTCTTCTCATTAGCAATTTTCACCACCATTAATAATTCTTTTCGACCTCATTTAGAAATCTTGAGTGTAAGAGGATATTTAAGAATTCTGCGTCGTAAGCTCTGGCGATTTTGTAGAATTAGCAACATCACAAATTAAACAGTCTTATATGCATGTCGAATTTTGCAACATATTAAAGAGCTTTCAAGAGTGACATGTCGCATTAAGGGCTTTCTGCTGCTAAAAAGGCGAGAACAGGGAATAACTACGGCTTGGCCGATTAATTAGATCTGCCTTGATTTGGTCGGTTACAAAAGATTATTGAGTGTGACAAAGTATTGTTCCACAATATCTCGAGCAAAAGAAAAAGGGAAAAAATTGGTCGGCACCATAAAACCAGAGTGATTATTGGCGTAATGCAACTAAATATCGGATTAAATTTACTTTTGCCACTCACAAGAACGTCGGTTTTTGTTGCGCTGTTGAAAAACTCTTTAGACAGATATTCGATATACGACACAATTGAACTTTCTTACTATTGTTAGATTCGTGTTTGTACGCAAAATGTTTTACGAATAAGCGCGTCGCGTTTTTTCTTTTATATCGCCGAAGAAAATTACCATCATCCACTTCATTTACGCAAATGATTTAGCTGAGTTCCTAACTTTTAAATTATTGCACTCACGGGGATGCTTTGTTGAACTCGCCTAATCTGAGCGCGATCAGCTGCGTCATAAGCCAGTTTAAAAAACTTTTAATTGGATGGTATTAATACTGCGCGATAAGGCACAAAACCAGAAAACCGAGCTTTTTACACCTGCCCTTACCACAGGAAAAATATTTTGCGCAGATTGTCCTATGCTAAGCTGGCCCGCCCAATCACAAGTCGATGAATACATAGTCCCTGAGCAATTAACGCCCAACAGCGAATTGTTAGTGAAACACCTTTCTCACTTCAAAGCAGTTTTGTATAAACTTGATGACTCGGGGGTCAATTAAGGCGATTGTTTATAAAACCAGCCAATCAATTTACACTTGCCACACGCGCAGGCTAGTTTTCGTCTCAAGCCTCTGTTAACATAAACGCGGTTAAAAGGTGATACAGGACTTAAAAGCCTGCCGGGTTACTTATTGACTTCTAAAGTGCGCGTCAAAGAAACGGAGACGAGGGATAAAGAACCAGTTTTAAAAGTATGAGCCTACCAACAAGTGACACAGAAAACCTCTCACCGAAAGCTGCAGCTTTTTCTATCGCCAGCTTGCTAACTAAGACTTTTGCTGAAAATTCCGGCACTCGAAAGACAAGTGAACTCAATCCGCCCTTAATGGATCTCAAAGAGAAAGGAAATTGGTGGAATGACTGCCAAAGTGATCGATCACCACAAAAGACGAAATCACCCTCGTTTTTAAGGCCGGCGAGTGAAGATCATTCTATAAAGAACATTTTGAACAACGAACAGCCGCAGAGTGAGAAATACGGAGGGGTAAAAAGAGGTGGAATAAGAAGAAATACATCAATTTTTGATCCTTTACAACAGTTTGCCGCTTGTTGTGACTTGGTTAGAAATCTAGACACCTTCAACAACACTTCATCATATTGTCCTCCCCAGATGAGAGTTATGGAAATGCACCGAGAGGTGCAAGTCGCTATGCAACAAAGTGATCTGTGGTGGAAATTCTACGCTTGCGGTACAGAGATGGTTATTACGCGCACAGGAAGGTGAGAAAAATCCTTGTGTGGTGATACTTAGCGTCGTGAAATATTTCAGACTTCCCTTCAATAAAAGAAACGATTTTGCCAAAAAGCTAACATCAGGTGAATTCTTCAAAAGTTACTTCGAATGTTTATGAAACACTTATCATCAAAAACGTATCTTCTGAAATTCTTATTATGTTTCTTGACATGCCGATAGAAATTATACAAATTATCTGAAATGAAATGCTATTAAATTGGTAAGAAACTCAGCCGCATTTTACTAAATTTTACGCCTTATAAAAGTCAAGATTCGTTTTTAGCTCTTTAAGTTCAATCTTCCAAACTACTCTCACTGGATTTTTGTAGAATGGCGAAATCTTTAAGAGACTTAATTTTCAAGTGAATGAAACTTCAGTGGTTTTGGTGTAAATTCTCTAACCACTCTTCCGAGACACTTTCACTACCTTTGCTATCAAAAAAGATCCTGCGAACATTTTAAAAACGGTCTGTGAACGAATAATCTCTTACAGAAGATGTTTTTAAGTATCCCAATTCACTATCGTTTGAATTGGCCTTGTTTTTGAAATGCAAACTAAAGCTTACATACAGGCTTTTTGCATTTAATTTAGTCAACGATTATTTTCACTGCGGGTAGCTTGGTTTTCTTAATTCGCCTCCGATAATTGCTCAAAACATCCGACATGACTAATTCCTCTGCTGGAATATGAAAAATATTATATCTGCTTAGCTTCTAAGTTGTTTTCCAGTATATCGTTTATAGCTTTCTATCCCTAAATGACGTCACGTTCTAAAATACTTTCTGTCGGCATTTGAACGCGTGCTTTTGAATGTTGAGAATGTGGCGCGTGCCACAAGAATTGTATTTTCCCTGTTCTATAACTTCCCCATGTGCAACCAACAAAACAAATCTCTTTTGAGTTTCTTTTAAACTGTTGATTTGCTTTCTCTGCATGTGCCTTTCAAAGGGGGCCTTTTCTTCTGTCGAAAGTTGATTGTTTCAAGCAAGCAGGCGAAATTGGCGCCAGCCAACACTAGGCTTATTATCCACAATTAAATCCTTTAAAGCACTTTATGCTCTTAAATTTTAACTTTTGCAGTGGTTTTACAATGACCGCTTCTGAAGAAATTTGCACCTGATTTGAAATACATAAAACGTGTTTCTAGCTGTCTTTAACCAATTTTTCAACAAAAACAGAACGCATGTAGTTCATTGCTTCAACGCTATTTAATGTTTCTTATCAACAGCAATTTCAAACTACGTTTCCTATCTGACATAAAGAGGAAAGAGCTCAAAGAACGTATCGCAAGATTTCAGAGATAACTTTTTTATCCTGTGTAGTGTTTTTGATACAAAATATACTAAAAATGTAACTGTGTTATACAGTTTCCTAGATCGTTTCAAATATCGCTATTATGTCCCCCAGGTGTAGAGTTATTAAAATTCGGGTTAGTGACTTTTAATATGCAAAAAATACCAGATATGATAAAGATAAGAATTATTCACATGTGGACACAAAGAGCTCTTTGATCGCTTATCTTTCCGAGCGCAGAGTATCTACGGAAAATAATTCAATTGGCATGTCTTCATTGATCAATCGCGTTCAAACAAAAGTCGAAATCTTAGGAAAAACCGATAGTACAAAACGGTATGCCCTGAGGTATCAAAATATCGAGATAATGAACACAGCTAAAAGATTAGCTTTAAATGAATAGGAGATTCTAAGGTCCATAACAATGACAATGAGCTCGAGTTGGAAACATAGTGGAGATGCAAAGGGTTATGGGCAGTCAAACTAAAGCTGTGGCAAAATTTTCTTTCTTTGTTCGTATTTTTTAGTGCTTTATCATTAAAAGAACATATTTTTGCTTGATTTTGATAGCGGCATTTCATTTTCATCGTACAAAGCTGTACCAATAAAATTGTTCCCCAACTTGAGGATCGGCAATATTGGCACACTTTCTGTTTTGATAAGTTGTCTTTTGAAACATCAGTTGTTTACACAACTCCCAGATCTGCAAATAAGAGAAAGCGTAGGAGGTGGAAGATACCGATAGCAACAAAACCACAAAAGGAGAAAGGCATATGGATTGCGCAAAGTAAACAACCACTTAAGGGTTTAACGCAGAGTGTGTCCTCCACGTGCCCCGCTCTTTATGGGTGTGTCTCATTGTTCGTGACCTCTACAATAATGACCGATGTTTTGCCTCTGCTAATGAGAGGAGAGATCATTTAAACAGATGACAGTGATCGCATAGCATGTGCTTTAGATTACTCTGATTTTAACCCCTTTGTACTTTATTTTCATTGTACCTGCCGTGATAGTAGCTCATACGACGCAGGTCTTTATAACACTCGACGCGTGCCGGTCATTACTACCGTCTTGCACGCTCGCGCCTTAGGAGGTGTTTTTTCAGCATCTTTAGAGGCTGGGCCTAAGAATCTATCGTTATCTACCTGTTTGTCATGAAACGGCTTCATAACAAGGCTTTCATCATGAAACAGCACCTTTCAACTGCATTTCACCTGCCTTCTCGAGCCTATCTCGGCAAATGAGAGCAGATTGTTTATCAGAAGGATGACCCACAGAGCACATTTTTTATCATTTATTTGAAGTTATCTGATGCTAAAGAGATTCATTTCTTTGCAGACGGATGTTTCCCACACTTGCTCTGTCTTTCCTTGGTATGGATCCTCGACGTTTCTATTCAGTTCATGTAGACATCGTTCCGGTAGATGGGTACGCGTATACGTTTGTGAACAATATGTGGCAAATCAATGGAATGGCGAGCGAGATGCACGCTTTACCTTACATACAGTCTTACCAAGCGGATGAAGTCGCTCATACCGGGCTCTATTGGATGAAAAATGGCGTAGACTTCAAGAAGGTTCGTCTTACAAATCGTCGCGTTGGCCCGTTCAAAGACGGCGAGGTAAAAGTCTCGAGATTACATCTCAAAACTATCTACGTAGTTAAGCTGCACATCTGATCAATGTAACTGGAAGAGTTTTGTGTTGACATTTTCCCTAAAAGTAATTTTATTTGAGATTTTTGGGTTTTTGTTTTGTATCTGAAAGTTACAGATAAGGAGGGCGCATTTTGTAACATTTTCATAAAAAGCGAAATACAGAGAATCATGGGATGGGCTCTAAGAGCGCATGCGTTATTTATAGCCATAGTGTCTGGCAAACGAAATACTATGATTTTGGTTGAATTTCCAGCTGTTTTTTATCTATCAAACGACCTAAACGAACAGATCAAATGTTTCTAAGTTACTGTGGGTTAATTTCACTGCGTGCTCAAACCCGCAAGAGCTGTCATAGGGTATTAAGGGACTTTTTGGCGATAGCGAGATGACGATTTTTGTGATTTTCCGACCGAACGATCTCATAACTTATTCATATATCGTTTCCTTTGTGTCCTTTGTGTTCGGGTTTCGCCTCGTGTTTCTGCGTTATTTTCATGTAACGAAGTGAAGCGTTTCAACGATACTTAATGAAGTTAAAATTTTTCAACTTGCTGAAGATGACACAGCTTAGCTTAAAAAATGCTAAATATATATGCAATATGAAGTAAGACAAGTGAGAGCCGGATATCGAAAAACGGCATGAAAAATATCCCGCGTGGGCCAGAAATCTTTTGAAGCAAAGTTTCGTAACACGAACTTATATTTTAAAAGCGTAAAAGCAATGTAAATCCAAACTTCTTATATAATACTGCGATTGAAAACCATCTTAATCGAGACAGTACTGAAGTTTTATCCGGCATGGCTCTATTTTGTGTTTGTTTTAATTTGTGTAACGAAAATTCGTTTTGAAGTATATACAGAAGGGAAAAAACTGGTCGAAAAGGCGATTTTAGAGAAGATTCTTACAGGCGATTTTCATTTGCACATTTGGAAATATAAATTTAAGATCTAATTCGGTATAAATTTCAGTTTGAATATTCTCTTGCTGGTAATTCTCTTGAAAATATTTTTTAAGAATTGAGGTATGGAATATTGGTCCCCGCCTCACAAGCCAAATCATTCAAGGAGATCACTTTTTATGTTGAGGAACTGAGTTTTCAAAAGTTTTATCGATTATTGTCTCTTGCAGCTCCATTTGAGTCCAAACAGAAAATACCAGCCAAGAATTCACGTTGTTGAAGAAACAGAGGAAGGTGTAAAGGTGTCATGTTCAACATACGTGTTCCCTGAAACCACTTTCATCGCCGTAACAACTTACCAGAATGAAGAGGTATCCGTTCAGATTAATCTTCATCTTATCTGTTTTTGTTATAGAATGGGTATCAAAAGAAGCAAATACCGAAAAAACATTACCACATTTCTACAACGTGATAGTTCTTATTAGCAATACAACTAAACCATACTGTCAGGGGTCTCGCCTTTTCAGCAGTTTACACAAAAAAATAAAGACAAGAAAATCTTATTAGTCAAATTCATTCTAAATAACGATCAATTTAGATTCTCTCCTCGTAATCTCCTATACCCTAACCTCAAGGATCTCGTGTCTAGATTCAAGGCTGTTATTTCAAATACGTTAGCGTGTCTTATCCTCCTAAAAGGACTTCTAAATTGTGATTAAATTGTCATTGGTTTTTGATAAAATTTTGGCATGTTTGTTGACTTATGTTGTTTTGTTTTCTTCCAGTTAATTCAAATGAAAATCGACCATAACCCATTTGCCAAAGGCTTCCGAGACAAAGGATCAAGGTAAACATTAAATATTTCATGAAGTTTTGTGATAAACTTTCCTCACAATACAAACAGCTGAAATCGGATGGAAAACTGAGCTTCTTAAGTACATTGTCGAAAAGATTGAAAACTGACAAAGCGCAAGATACATCAATCCGTCTTTATTGAAAAATCATACACGCAAGATATATCGTAAATACATTCTTAAAAATAAAACGGCCCATAAGGAAATTTCCAAGTAATTGCAGAATAGCGTGGATTGTAAATGAAGGTTTCAAACAATACAGAAGAAGTTAATTTATATTGTTAATAACTCGAACTTCTGTATTCTAAAATGCTTCTACTCGCTGAGCTTACTATTACCTATTGTTGAAACAAATGGAAGATTGCAATAAAAACGAGAAAGGGAGAAAATATACAAGTGATATTTATCTAGTGAAAAATATTATGAGGCATTCGCAAACAGCTCAGTTAAACTTACATTCAATTAAATCAATGGGCATTGCCTTGATATGAAATCGTATTTACACGAACACAAATCTGAAGTTTAGTAATATTTGACTTATTCTTAGTCATCATTATGGGATTAATAACATTCTAAATAACTCTCTGGTAAATAAGTCTCCCATTAGACTGAATGAAAAGAATTTATACTGCCTGCACTGAGAAAGCTCCAATTTCGTTTATCACTGTTTTTCACCGCTAACTGAGAAGCCAGGAGAAAACAAACACTCGTAAACTGATTTACACGTCGTATGACAATTCTGTGAGCAACATAATCTTAAAAAAATTCATTCAGGGAAATTCTCTACATATACCCAGCAGTAAATGCATGTTAGATGCTACCTTTCTGTACATTTGCAAACTAACTCCATCATTCAAAATTTTTGTGCGACTCAAAAATACCCGACGCTATCTCGCTATGCATATTTGAACCGGCCCTGTTGTAACCCATTTCTCACCTTGCACAGGATCTTTCCTCACGCGGGGTATTTACTAAAAAGGGTTGGCAGTAAAAATATAGCTAAAAAAAGCCAAAACATTTCTCCTCATTTTACCTAATGGATTTACTTGTTCACTCCTTGTTTTCACACTTTGTAACTGGAAGCTAAGTAAGGTGAATTTACATACGCCTTTCGCAGGCTTTGTTCGAGAAAACTTCTTTGAGTTGACAATTCAAAGCGAGAGGCAATAACGACAAGAACAATGAAAAGAATGCAAAGGATTGTCGCACCCAAAAATACTTCATGATTACGTAAAGAAGAAATTAAAGCAGGGAGACTTGGATCCATATAAATTTTTGAGTACTTAAAATATACGCCTTGTTTGAAGTTAGGTTCGGTCAGAAACTGTCTTTAATACAAATTATACGGGAACGTTATGGAAACTGAAGTCAACCACGTGGTTCGAAAAGTACCAGAAGCAAAATTCACCGAGAGAATAATTTTGTTCCTTTGCAAGTGTGGTGTCTGGGAACATAATTAAAATTCGTTGAGCTCGTGTTTAGAAAACAAATGAAACAACTTGATTCGTAGAAAGCTTGCAGTTTTGATCTCATTCAGCTTTTTCTTTCTTTCTTTATTTGTGTTCATTTCATTTTTATAGTTATGCTGTAGACTAAAATCTAAAAGCTTTGATAAGCACTGAAGATAAAACATTCTTTGAAATAAAATGCATCACAGGAATTCATTAGTTTTGTAAAAATGAATTTTAAGCCCTACTAAGAAACTTGATAGTTACTTCACTAGGACAGAATATGCTAGGTCAATGACGGTATTATTGCTTTCAAGGTACAAAGCAGCTAATTAATCACTGATATTTGTGTCAAACATATTAAAAAGATACGTAGATCCGTGAACTAATTTGATTCGCAAATGTGCCCTCAGGTCGTGCGGTGAGTGAATCGAAAGTTGAACCTCACATACCTATTTCCGGCTAACGAATGAACTACTTTTTTGATTTTATTTACATATAAGTATCATTAAGATGCCCTGTAATTGGTGTGGTCCTACTAAAACATCACGCAAGAGTGTATCGGAGGAACATTTGAAGCTCCTTCACCGTTCACTGTGCCTTCATTGTTAGATCATTAGAAAAAGCTCTCGCTTGATGCCACGTGGGTGATTGTCCTTTGCTAACGTGCGTAAAATTTTGTTTACTAAAAAGAATAGTAATTAACATATTGTGGCTTTTTTTTCTTTTTTTTTAAAGTCAACTACAAGGATCAATTAATAACCTAATGGCATATTACTTTTTCTTTGGGAAAAATATTGCGTGCGTTGGAGTTTGAAGCGTATAAAAAGTCTGCCTCTCATTGTTTATGTTTTTGCGATGAAATATGTGAGCCATGCTGTATGTTTTCCGTTTCGTTCGCACTAATAGTGATATCATTTACAGTTCTCTTTTTTTCCAACGTGTCATAATGTTATTTAGCACATGGGGCTTTCTCGTAAAAAAATTTTATGATTATCGTTACTTTTGAGGTTCATTCGTATTTATTGTGTCGTTGAGGCGACGGGAGACTGGAGGCTGCTAAATCTAAAAATCAATGAAGCTTTTGATAAGTTTTTTGAAACCCATGAATTTCTAAAGGCTTAAATTTGTTTACATGGATGCTAAGTTTATGGTTGAACATTATTGAGAAATTCCCCATTAAAGTTACAAGTACTATGAGAGTTGAAACAAAAGTTTCTTTTGTCCTGCCTCGTGTCGCGTGCCGACATTGATCCCTTTATGTTTCCATTGCCTCGTGAAACAAAAGAAAATTAACAAAAATGCTTTACCATTCACAAACGTCTCGTGAACAGGATAAAAAAAAACACGAAAAAATTAAATTTATCAATATCACAACCTGCTAGTTACTTTTTCCTGTCATTTTCAGTTGTATGAGAATGAAAGAAGAAGAATGCAAAACATGAGGAGTTAAAGTGACACTCCACGATATCATTTGCTGTCTGTACCGATACAGACACATAACGCTCCCCATCCCAAATATTAGAAAAATGGAAATTTAAGTGATATATTCATCTCAAAAATTTAATTTGTTCATGAGAATAATCAACTTTTATTCACTCGTGCCGTGTGTCGCGTGCCAAGCGAACTAAATAGCCAATTAAAACTCTGTTCAAGCTGTTAAGGACCTATGTACAGTTCTAATAAAATATGCTAAGTGAATTTGTGGGATGATTCCATTTATGGGTAACACCTCATTTTGAGCTCAAGGCAACAAACTTGGCGGAAAATCAAAAAGCGTCGAGTTATTTAGTAAAAAGATGCATTTATTCTATGGCAAGGTGTTCAGTGAACAGAACTGATTTAACGATTTTCCACAAGAAGGCATAAGTTGACACACCTTACAGATCTCTCGATAACATTGAAAGCTAACTTTTCGTAATTTTGTCTCTGATCTTGTGGTTGCTTCTATATGGACACATCCACTTGATAAACGGGCAGTTCTTTAGAATTCCGTTTGGAATCTCATCCGTGTGTTTTAATGCGTTTTTAACATCTTTGAGTATAAGACTGTTTATTGTTTCAATTAATCGTCGCTTCGATTGTTTTAAACTTCGAGTTCAGGATCATTCGTTGAGACTAAATTGAAATGATTCAGGCCACATTAAAATAAGTATATCGTAAACATTTATTAAGATCACGTTTTAATGCCATGTTTTCATTCTGTATTGGAAACAACCTACTCGTATTTTACCTTTTTTATCTGTGTTAGAAAAAAAATTGAACAATTTACGCTTTAAAATGTTGCCAAACATTTTATTGAGATGTGTTGATTAAAGCTCTAACCACAGCCCACGTAACTGACTCTTGTTGCAAAGTTTGAGAACAAAGTTTTGGCAGCAAACAATTCCATCAATGATACCTTTCCCGGCTTAAACTAGGCTAAAAATTCTAACTTAGCCTCAGTGTTTTCAAAGTTGAATTTCACAAGTGCCATTGATAGTATTGTTAGAGCACGTACAACTCTCGTACTTTGGAACTTTCTAGAGATTAATTGGAAGGTTTCATTGGTAAGCATAACTTTCCTTTGCTTTGATTCTTTACAAAGACAAAGCTCGAGGTCTAACAACCCGCGTGTCAAACCAAAACTTATTCATATCGCTATCATTATCAAACATGTTGGATGTGTGCTCCCTTTTTCTTGGGTGTGAACCTGCATGAGGTTATTCTGCTCCATCACTCTTGCTCGATTGTAACACATGTTCTGACCTTAATTAACTGTTATATTATATTATTGGTGACTTTTTAAATAAGTTTAGAGCCAACAACAGCAGAAGAGAATATTAAAAATCATAGCATCTGATCTTGGGGGACATACAACTTTAGACATGAGGGGTGACTTCATTTCATTCACAACATCATCTCAAACCTGAAATCTGCTAAATCCTAACACATCTTAATCAAGAGGTCTTTAGTTAACATCGGCATTATTATTTGAAAAAAGTTCGTATTTCCTAAGCAAACTTGTTACAAACTAAAAAGCAACAATTTTATTTGTTTTACGATTTAGCGAAGCATGACACATTTACGTTAGATGAACTATTTAGTCTTGTTTGTTTACCCTCGTGTCGCGTGCCGTTAAAACAACTAATTAAAGTAAATATTCTGCAAAATGCTTCGCAGCGCGACTCCAAGCGGAGAGAATATCACCATTGGAGCACGAACGTGTGCCGTGTTTGAGCGCCCAGCTGAGCTACTGTTCCGCATTATGCTCGCTACGTTTGCGCATGTGTTGAGTCGCGTGGATTGGCCACGTGTAGAAGTTTGAGGCAGTTCAAAGTTCACTTAGATAAATTTTAGTTATGTAACACGATGTGACGATATGATTAAAAAAGACCGCTTTTAGGGATACGTAGATGATATGTTAAATACTTATAATTTTATTAGTCAGTAAAGACAGACTGCTCCAGCTAAACTTTTTAAAAGGAAAGTAAAATCCATTCGAAACAAAAAATGTCTTATAATTTTCCAACAACGCCCTAAAAATACGTTCCTGAAAATTCATATCTCAGCGTTGAGTACATTCTAGGTCTTCCTCAGATCTTCTCAATTAACTTTTTAAGCACTCGCTTTGAGACTTTGAGTATAATTAAGCTGTTTGATCGTAGATATAAAGAATATCACAAAATAAGTACACCAAATGTTAGATCTAATCAAAATAAAATTATAACGTAGACAATATGAATCCTCGGTGCCCTAAAGCTTTTAAATTTCCTTTATTTTCCATTTCAGACGAAGATATCTTACGTATGAACATAGGGATGATGTGTCAGATAGTTCCCAGGCTTCTTTGAACGCACTCTGCTTTTCGACGACAAGAAATGTCGAGAGAACACCGGAAACCACTCTCGTACCTGCGCCTCTACACTTAAAACTTCACGATTTGCCACAATACTGAGACCTACATCAACAGAGGAACTTCGCACGCCTTACATGTCTATCCTTACAACGCCAATAAATGAAAATAGGTAGCGTTCAAACATTGACTCCCTGAGGGTAGCCTCGAATTAGATATGAGCCCAGCGGATGAAAAATAGTAAAAACAAGGAGTCGAAAGAAATCAGGAGTATCCTGGATTTAAGCAAATGTGACACAGCCCAATGTTTTGTTGAAAAACTTCAAGATACCCATTCAAAAAATACCGATGTTCTGTTTCACTGATGTGCTATAACTAACCCATTGGGTTGTCCAAGCCTCCAGTTCGTGAACGGTGAGCGATAAGTGACCCAGACCCCCCATTACTTTTCGCTGTGGGATTTTATCGCACCCCTTTTTCGAGTAAGAGAGGGATTCAACGCCGCATGGCAGCTCACTGGAATTTTTTATTAAAAAAACAAAATCAGGTTGGCTGATGTGAATAGCTTCTCCTATGAATTTCAATTAATGTACATAAAGAAAACGCATTTTGACTAAGTAAAAAAGGAGAATTTTTGTAAAAAGTTACTGATTATAAGATTTTTGTTCGAAGTGGTGCAAATAGTTAAGTTGCTAAGGATATCATAATAATAAAAGTGCAAATGTTCGATTTTCATTGGAGTGGATTGACTAATAAGCTTGGAGGGGGTTATACTGAGCAGCTTTATCCGGCCACACCCATATCAAAGGCGTTCTTTTCTACATTGACTGACATGCTGCCAAGTGCACCCTAAGATCAATTATGAAAAATCGCCGAAGCTGGAAATGTTCTGGAGTATCAAACAGAAATTACGTTTGTTGTTCACTTCCAATGTAATTAAATGTTCCATGAAGGAAAAATTACCCATGGGTTCTAACATCTCAGGTATACTGGACATCCTGTTCATGAACAAACTAGAAACCATCGCCATCACCTCACACCTAATGATAAGCCAATGATAAGCCCTTACAAGAGATATGTTGACGACATTTACTTCCAAACAACCAATGAAGAAACAGCACACCACTTCCACCATGTAATAAACAATGAACACCCTAATTTGAAATTTGAAATTAAAAAACCAGAAACAACACCCAGTGGCATGTCGTTATCATTACTGGATTTCAAAGTCACCATATCCAAGGATGGCAACAGCTCTTTCGAATTCTACAGAAAACCACCCAAGAAACCACTATTCGTCCACTATCAATCAGCTATCCCCACCAAATCCAAACTCAACTTCATCCGCAACGAACGAAAACGCATCGAGGACAGATGCTCCTCGCATATATCTGCAACACAACACCAAAACACATTCGACAACATCCTTTGCCGTCAAGGTAACCCAGAGAACAATGTAGAACAATCAAAACGCCCACAGCACCCCCAAAGAAACTCTCAACCCGCCAACACAGAATGGTCATACCTCAAGATCCCATACATCTCTGAACTACTAAATCACAGGATCTCTAACATCTTTAGAAAAGAGAACATCCCGATACGCATTTCCCACAAATTCTTCACACTGAGACAAGCCCTATCCCACACCCCAAAGTACGCAAATGCCTCAGAGACAAGTGGCCCATCTCTAACACCGGATTATGTTTACGTCGTAATGCAGTATACCAGCTCATATGTAACAGCTGCAATTAACAATACATTGGTAGCACGACACGCTTCATCCCTGACCGCGTAAAGGAACATCTCAACAATGAAAACTCGTCCGTTAAAAACATATCTATTCCTGCCAAAACAAAGACCATAAAGGCATTGATGTCAAGGTTATTAAGCATGAAAACGACCCCGCTAATCAACGCCTTTACGAAGCATTTTACATTAGAAAGTACAAGCGTACACTCAGTTCCCGGGAAGAATGTAGTGACGATGAATTCGCAGACCTTCGAATTCTATTTCAGTATCTTATTTTCTAGATCATTTTAACGCTTTTATAGGTTCTTTGTTCATAAAAGGTCCATCATTAGAGGGTATTATGTTCCATTCACAGTTTATTTCTACAGCTTTCATACATAGTCACATGTTTTACACATTTCACCACACACTCTTTTTACATATATATCTATAGCGCTCCCGGAATATTTTCTTATCCCTGATGGTGCCGTTGATCGGCGAAAACTCGGATTTTTAAAACATTTTACTTTTTACAGCAGTGTAAGGCTTCATTCGATTAGTTTGTATATATTTCAACAATGTTGTTGAAGGACAACATGAACAGAAAAATTCACCATTCATTTGTTTAGATACCAAAAATTTGTTTTATTGCCAAAGAATAAGATCAAAGAGCGGAATAGCGGATTTTTTTTATCCTAAATCAACTTTATGCTTCTAACGAGAACAGAAGACACTTGCTAAAAGTTTACATCAAGAATACTTCCTTCTTGTACATTAACTCACTCTGATTGGTGGTTTTAAGGCTCAAAGTTCACCGAAGCAGCTTTTTGCACTCTTAGATAGATGCAATTATTAGACTTGCTGCAATTCCCTTATAGTATATCTCAACAACCGAGTATAGTAATTGATGATAGTGCGTAAAAAGCATTCAGGATGGCAAGAACCAAATATAACATTTTATTCATCTATCAAACAAATAAATTCTATGTCGACGTGGGTCTGTTCAGAAATAGATCACAGACTGGACGTCAAAATGTGCTAAGAACATCAGGGAAATGTCATCTGTGATCCTAGCCTGTAGTAGAGGCGTCTTATCAGGGCGAGTTAACGAAGAAGCGCGCGATTGTTTATTCAACCGAACATGTTTAATTTGCAGTTAGAGTCGACAGTTAGGGGAGGGGACGGGAAGGGACAATCCCCCACCTTCCCCCCTCCCTATTTTTTCATCACTCACCTTCTTGGTACAAATTTCTTTCTCTTCTCAGCCTTCCGCTTCTTTAAGAATCAAAGATGATCATTTTCGCTAAGAAAATACTGAGCAGTCACTCGCCACAGTTACACCTGCTCTGCAGGAAAATATGATCCATAACTGAACGGCAATATAGAATCTCTTTGTTAATTTGACTATGATATTCTGCTTTCGGATAAACGCTTTAGATTTCGCCATAAGTACAACTTCCTTTTCAACTGCACACAATTAGACACTGAAGATGGATCCATTTCATTTCGAAGTGGCTTTGTTATCTAAACGCCAGCTGCATTGACTCTGTGTTTTTTTAAACTTCAAATATTGTCGCTTTTAGAGAAAGGCTTCTACGTATAAATGGATATTCATATTCATTTCCAAATGTACAACTGCTCAACCTTTTCGTTAACTTCATAATAATGATAAGTTACCTTTGCTGGTGCTGCTGTAGTACCTTTTTATAATAAAACCTATACGCTGTTCTTATAGAAAAGATGAATGCAGTACATATGGAATAATGAAATATCTTTCAATCTAAGCGATCGAAGGTTCTTTGAATGACACTTGCGGCGGCCACTGGTCATCCCTAAGCAGACGCATATAATACGAAATGCAGTTAGCAAAAAAATTTGTTGTTTAATCATGTATGGCCCATATATAGGACTTATATCATTTTTTCATGCCCATTCTTACGAAATTTCTTCATCATACTCTGTCAATTCATAGTCGAGATGTTTCGAGACGCTGCGGTTTTATTTCGTTAACTTTCATTATCAACTCAATGATTTATTATTCTCTTAAAAAATGACACGAAGACATCAATCTCCTTAGCAGCCTGCCATTCCATACGAGGAAATCCTCTGATCAAATCCATTGATAAAATGGAACGTAGATTTCGAAATTAACCATCCAATAAAATATTTCATTTGCTAGAGACATATTTATGTTAAATATTTCATCATTTTACCAACGAGAAAAAAAGTTTTCAGAACGGTTTTTGTTCGGTAAACAGTTGGTGTTCTGTTTGTCGAAAAAATTTTCCTTCAACGGAAACGAATGCTGCATTTAATGGTACAACGGTGATGAAAAATATTCTTTAAGGGAAAAAACATATTTGTTAAATCAATCAGATGTGAAAGAAGAAGGATAATTTCCATATGAAAAAAAAAATTTCTGCGACTAAAAGCAGCTGCTTTGTCTTCATGAGTTTAGTCCGGCGTTGAGCGGATAATTTCACTCAGAGAGGATTTTGCTGGCTGGGCTGTAAATTGCCATATCGCACCCACGCAATTTTTTACCACTTCCCATACAGAATATTTTGTGGCCAATCTGTCAATGTCCAGAGGAAGTCTCGGTAAACGCAGCAAGGTCTTTCAGGTAATGGAATATTTTCATTCCTGATTCAATCGTGTCGAACTGAAGGACTTATATAGTCGGGGTGGGGAAACTAATGACTGCAAATATGTTTCGAAGGGAACCTCAACACCTTCTTTATTTCGTTCCCTGCACTGGATTGTGCATCAGAGTTCGTCGTCTTCGTTCGATCCACGTTCTTCTTAAATATTTGGATCCATGCCTATACTTTACATGCCACAAAAAAAATAATGATATAAAATGCAAAAAAAAAACAGGTTAAAACTCAGACAAGGTGGATATTTTTCAAATTATAACATTATTATTTGGTGAAAAAAGAAAAATACAACTGCGAAAACGTGCAGCATGCACTCGATGGAAAGTGGAATATTATATTAAACCTCTCAATTTTTTTTTTACAAAAGCACTTTTATTTGTACTGCTCACCATATGTTCATCAAAGAAGTATTACTGTGCCACAGATCGTGCACAATATCAACTTCTATCTAACTCACGAAATGTCTGCTCCCTAAAAGCTTATTTTGTCTAAGGAAATAAGTGATTTTTATAATCTCGCAAGGGCTTGTTCTGTTGGAGACAAGTGCCAGCAACGCTGAGCCATTTTCGTCTCGCCGGATGCCTGGCACAATGAGTTGCTCTGAGTCAGATGGGAGCGGTAGTTATTTAATCACTCATCCAAGTATTGATCAGAGTATGAATTTGAAATATGTCTGCCTTTTATTAAAATTTGTCCTAGTAGAAGAGGGATAAAGGAGTTAATTTTTCTAGATAAATTGTGGTGCTGCGTCGGTTGGGGGTATTGCAGAGTAACTTGGCTTTATCGAATGCCTAGATAACGTAAATTGGCTATCATAAAGGACAAAATAAATTGTAATTAGACTACTATATACTTGCACTGGGAAAGGGCTGACGTCTGAAACAGTGGCCAAGTTACATCATCAACTCAGTTGATAAAACCATGAGAAAAGGAACAGTTATATTATGCTGGAAAGGAAATTTAAATTAATCACGAAATATTTTTCACTCAGGTCTCCTGTCTTAAATGGTGATATTCGGTTTACCTTTCACCCCTTTCATTAAAGGTTACACAATATCCATTAGTCTTACCGTCGGAAACTATTTTAATGCCGTTGTTGCAGTATTTATTTTCGAAAAATTGAGACTCAAAAGCAGGTAATAAGAAATCGGACCTATATCATGAAACAAAGATTTGCATGTATCCAGTACTTAATTGTCATTTCGTGGTGGACTCTTTTCAGGTAGAGATCGAGAATGCTAGTGATATGATCCGTATTTAAATCGAATTTGATGCTGACTATTTGTCGTTTATTGAAGCTGAAGTCCATTAGGTCGAGAATATTCAAGACAAAAGTTTTGATGATGAAGTGACGGTAGGCTCAGACAGTGAAAAATTTGAATCTTTCATTTGATGATCTATATATTTGTTTCGATGCTTCGGTGTTGTGAATACAGCTGGACTTCTGTTTGTCACGGCATCGCTTTGGCGGCAAGGGAGACTTTTTGAACAGTTTATGTGGCACTGGAAACAAATATCACTCGCGGTAAAAGATAAGGGTATTTCACAACGAGAGATATCATTTTGGGAACTTCTGGAGCTTGTTTTTTTCTTGTTTGCAAAGTTAATTTTCTTGCCAAGTTTGACACGCATCCGCAGCAAAGCGCTGACGAATCATGAGTGAGCCCGCGAGCAGGCCCTCGTAATTTAGCGCTTCCACATAAGTGATTTTTCGCCCGCGAGGAAGTCTGATAGTGCCAGACCCTTTACGCGTAATAATAATGATAATGTATATGTGCACGATCCTCGCAGTAAAGCACTATCTAAGCAATAGTGAAAATCAGACCTGAAAAAATTCAGGCCTGTACGGGATTCGAACCACTGACCTCTGCGATACTAGTACAGCGCTCTACTAATTGAGCTAACAAGCCAACTGGTAGCAGGCCATCAAATTAATTCGATATAAACCATATACGTTTCATAACCGCAGTTGAGATATATGTATTTCATATATTCGTTGTGTTTCATCTTACGGGTTTATGTCGAATTAATTTGATGGCCTGCTCCCAGTTGGCTTGTTAGCTCAATTGGTAGAGCGCTGCACTAGTATCGCAGAGGTCAGTGGTTCGAATCCCGTACAGGCCTGAATTTTTT